TAGCAGGTCCCACGAATGCCCATAGTCTCTGACTGCCTCTCGCACATCCTTCTCCATGTCATCCTCGGACTAATGCCCAACTTGTCGTTCCCTATTCGGGTTCCACTTGTGGGATGGATTGGCGTGCCATGTCGTTCGGTAGTCTCCTCAGCGTATGCCCAACCCACCTCCATTTTCTTCTACATATATTTACAAAAGAATGGATACTGAACAAAGAATACTCTTTGCGACAACGCCTTCTTCATCAGGCTCTACAGTTATATATACACATTATAGTGAATGAATGAATTACTGTTATCAACAACATTAGTGTTGTTTAAATAACATCGAATCAATAATAATAATATCAATAGATTACAGTTCAATAGCATCGGCATAAAATAAGCTAAATGTTAGAAAAATCAGGCAAGATAATATTACAAATTCATGAATTTGTAGTCTCTACTGAAGGCCGCCGAGCGCAATGGTAGTGACTAGCTGGACTTGCTTCTTTTGCACACAAGGCACTGGTTGTTTCACGCGAATTGCGATAGCCTCTGCTGTTTAGAGCATGTGGTACTTCGATGTTTTTGTCAATTTATTTGGCACCCGGTAGATGATAGAGAAGGATTGTTCGATGCCAGCTGGCTGGCTTTGAGGCCGGTTTGGACCAGATTGTCTAATATCGAACTGTTGATGGTTTTCACTACACTTTTACTTAGCCATACTGGTAGATGTTCTCGAGCGAGCACGAAAAAACCTAGTTCCGAGAGCAACGGCCGACATAACTCGCTCCACAAGCGCAGTTGAATTGGTAAATACAATTACAAGTGGCTTGTCTAGGTACTTCATCTTTAAGTCGAGGATATAGGACATCACAGAGAATAAATGCATCTAAGCCATTGGAAACGATTTTTAGACACATCACCAGCAGTCTCCAATATCCCAAGGTCCCTGATCAGATAGTCTACACCTCTAAACATATTTGTTGAATAAAAGGTTCTTGATCGGTTCGTCTCATGAGTTTCTTTTTGCTAATCGTTTCTGGCCGGTCATCTGATCTTCACTATGCAGGTCAGCGAAGGCAGCTGTCGATAAAAGTTTGCAGTGGTCTGTTTGAAATGCTCCTTGTGATGCACTAGTGAAGATTCTGACCCGTATAGAAGAACTGACTGAATTAACATTGCTGTTGAAAATCCAAATTTTGTTGTTGATACTGAGTGCAGAAGATTTGCATACTGCATACTGCCGACAAGTCTCAAACTAGGTTGGCGAAACAGTTGCCCACTACTCCCAGATGATTTTCCAATGGTTCTCTAACTGTGATGTCAGCTCATGATGAAATCCTCCAACCAATCAGACAAAATCCCTACAAAACCAATACTTGAAGATACATTTCAATAAATTTTCCCCCGGTAAGATTTAGATACGACAGCTCAGTGGACGCGTATCAATTACTTCTTGTTGTTATCAGACAAACTCACATTTTATGCCATTTTTACAATTACGTAAAAATTAAAAGACCTGTAACATTATCTAAAATCTTGATAGTACAATCTAAAATGCCCTAATGAGAGCCCTAACTGCCCCTTACAGCCACTATTTTTTTTAACTTGCCTCTAGTTCAATTTTAGTTGAATCCTACTCAATTCCGTGAATTGATTCCGTGACTTGTTGAATTTACGTTTCTGCCCGATTAACGTCTTTTTTAATATTACGTAGTTTATTATCTAAAATTTTGTTGCTAAGAGAAATTTACAAGATATGTGATTGTACAGATTCAGAGCGATATCTCTGAAAAAAGGTGACTCTTTCCTAAACGTCTTTTCGTCTACGTGGCGTTGTATCCAGAAGGCTAGTATGTCAGTTTCTGTCTGTTTGTCTGTATGTTTTCAACATAGAACTTCGCACCGATGTGCAGTAGTTCAAGTCGACACACTCTCTCCATGTAGAACACAAAGCAAGAGAAGAAATGCGAAACAGAGACAGTAGACAGGGATATGCAACAAAAGGAATAGTAATAACGAAGAACAATATAGTTTTATTGGAAATTATAAGTCACAAAGAGTGGATGCATCTGCACCAGCCATATCATCAATTGTCTTCAGCTATTGGTTCTTACTATCCCGAGGACCCCAACCAGCGAAGAGGTTTACACCTCCAAAGCCTCAGGATGGTCCGGGGTGGGTGCCTTGCGCTGCGGGTTGGCCACCCTTCCTCACACCTCTTGAAATGCTCCCATATGACCGGGCGTCTTACATAGCCTCTCCTGAGGAAGTCCTACTCACTGCCTTCACGTGGCGGAGGTGTTTTTCACCAAAGTGAGAGGGCGAAAGCGGATGCCCGGCGCTCTTCACGGGGTTGACTGTCCATTGGATGACAGTCTAGGGGAGATGACTAAACCCTGATTCCAAACCTCCAACGACTGGCGTATGAAGCTCAGTGGAGCTCACTGGCAGACGTATGGACAAAGGGCTTGTTGGATGTCCTGGATGTCTGGCCCCATTCAAAAAGGCGTCTGAACCGAACTCCGGTCACCGGCTGCCAATGGATATTGGGCTCCCTACTCCACTCCTACTGCCTTGTAGGTCACATTTGGTTGTGTAAAGGCTAGAGCTGCACTCTCAAACAAAAGGCCGAGCGATTCTGGGGACATCACTCGTACCGAATTCCCATGAAACTTCATGAACTCTCTTACAAACGACCCTAATGCACGAATCTCCAACGCCCGGAATGCGTTTCTACAGCTGAGGAGCGTTCTATAGAGCAAGAGGGAAATCAGTCTCAGGACTAAAATTCGGGTCTACCAAGCCTCCATACGATCCGTTCTCCTGTATGGCTGTGAAACCTGGCCTCTTCGCGCGGAAGATGTACGCAGACTCGAGGTAGTAGACCATTGGTGCCTCAGGTACATTCTGCATGTTCGTTGGCAGGACAAACTCTCCAACGAAGAAGTGCGTCGTCGTTCCTACAACATCAACCAAATTCCAGTACTGGTCCAACAACGTCGCCTTCGGTGGTTTGGCCATGTTCTGCGCCGACGATCTGGTCAAATCAGTTCTAAATCCCTCGCCATTACCATCTTGGCGATGTCACAGGGGTGGACAGCTGAAAACATGGCTTGGTACAGTCAAGACTGATATGGAGTGCCTGGGGCTACAAACCGTCTACGGACTCCGTCTGTGGAACAAGAATTGGATAACCCTGTCGCAAAATCTTGCATCAGATCGCCGCGCCTCGGCAGCGATGATTCGAGATGTTCATGAAGCCGGCTCATCCTCCCGTAGGAGATAGCCGAAGTAAAGTAAGTAAGTAGCTTAAATTAACTGTTGTGGATTTCATTGATTGGTGAAGCCATTTTTTGGATTGACCGCCACTGGCTCTTTACGAGCCTGACCCTATATCAGCTAACGTTGCCCGTCGAGGGAGACGAGCAACCGCTAGGCATGCATGCGTAACACATGTCCTAAGCATCTCAGTCGATGTAGCTTCATAGCCTCGTCGATTGATTTCCCCTCCTTGTCTAGCACTCGACCGAAGCCTAACCTCAAGTGTTATGTCAGTTTGATTGTATTACTACTGGACTACTGAGTTGCGATCTTATGTCTTATCGAATCGCCTCAGGGTATAAACATTTAGTTGTGGCGACTTGAACTGTCGCACATATGTGCAAAGTTCTATATCGAAAACAGACAGACAGGCAGACTGCTGACAGCCTTCAGTCTTCAGTGTATCACTGTCCCCAATAACCAACTTGGTTAACTGTACCGATCACTTCCCTATAGAAGTGTGAAAAACTCATTCAGAGTCTAAAACAATAGTTTAATGAGTACATGTTTACCACAACATAATTTCAGTTAACGATTTTAATGTCTCATAAGGTTCTAAGTGCATACTGTCTCAGAAGCTGAAACTGGAACACCAACATTCACTGACAACTACTTGCTTTCATGTTAATCGGGAGAGACGGTTATTGGATATATCGGGAATTCTAAAAATCCAATTCATTCCCAAACTGACACTGATGAGATTGTCCAGAGGGCGCTTTCATTAAACCATCCATCTCAGAGAAAGAAAACAACACCAAGGCTTAGAGATTTAAGCAACCAAGTTACACGAAATGTGAACATTTTCAAAGAGTGATTATCTACACTAACAATTTGTCATTGTTGCCAGGCACGGTTGACCTACCCAAGAAGACGACTATTTATCTTTAATTTGCATGAGTTACTGTAGGGATTTGATTTGCTTCCAGTTTGACGACGTATCGATATAAGTCAGAGATCTATCGGAAACCACGGAGTACTGGACAGCTACTTTGCTCTATTTTGGAAGTCATCGGCAGTAGGCACACACCACACAGGAGTTCGAACCCAGAACCTTCAGGTTACAAGGAAAGCTAGCCCGTAGACCAACAAGTCACTGGGACCTGACCCAATAACCCATGAATTCCAACTCCTACCAATTAGTCATTTTAGCGTGACTGACACCGGCCAGTGTCATCCGTTGCAAGTATTTGCCTTCACTTCCGACTGTGTGGGCCCCTTGGTCACGAATTCTTCCTAGAACTCGAAGAAACTTAGACCTGCAGCTAGTTACTAGCAAGCATCAGATTAATTTTCAAACGTCAGATTGTAGGGGTTCTTCTTCACCTTCAACTTTCATCAGTTGAAATATCAACCAATGAGGTTGGGTGAGCTGGTAACAAAACAAAACCCTATAATTATAGGATTAGTAAACTCATATAGAATGTTACATAACATGGTGTGAAATTTGATATGACAGAATTCAATATTGTAAAAAAACATTTTGGATTTAGAATGACAAGTGAAACAAGCAGAAACAATTCATAGTGAGAATAGTAATACTAATAATAACCGTAGTAATGAGGAAAAAGTACATAGATTAACTAAATAAACAAAATAAATAAATGTCTATCCCTCTATGGCCAAGAAAGAAGTAGGGATTGTTCTTACTTCTTTTGTACACAAAGGTCTGGCTTAAATTCATAAATGGCCAAGGCCTCCGCCGTCTTTAGAAGTCTATAACGAAGAAAACGTGGCCAGCAAGTTAGCATGAATTCAGTAAATGATCTTAAAACCTTTAAGCTGACGAGTGCCAACTAGCACGAAATCTAGGTCCATGGCTCCCCCTACCGACTGTCTCCAACCATCTAACATACTAAGCCTTACTAAATATCATTCACAGAACTTTAAGAAAAAATAGGAGACGATCTACATTTGTTTTTAAAAACGCATACAAATTATATTAAAACTATACAAGGTTTGCACAAAATTTCAAAAAAAAGAAAATAATAATAATTCCTCTTATACAAAAAAGTTATTATTGTCGACCTCCACCTCCAGTATTTCCGCCTCCTGCTGCATTAGGATCTTGCATATTGGAGAAAAGAATGAATAGGAAGACTGCTGGAATGATGTAGGTCCACTGAAAAACAGAAAACAAACAAAACAAAGAAAAAGTATGATAGACTAGATGGGATTCACTTTTGAAGTGAAATCAATAATTCCTCTGTTCTCTGAATGCAGAACATACAGCTTCAAGATTTCAAAGTATCCGTAGCAGTGGCGTTGTTTTTACGGGGTGAAGCTGTTAGCCTAACACCCAACATTTCCTCTCTTCTGGGCTTACTATCGCCTAGTACACTGGACGAGGTATAGGAGTGAGTCAGCCAGGATTTGGATCCGGACCGAACTCATCTATGACAAGCACCCTACAATTGAACCACTGCCGCGTTTAAATAGAACAACAAATTTTGAGGATAAGCACACAATTGTTAATCTGGGTTTTCAGAGGTGAAGTCTGACCAGCTGAATTCACGGTTTCTTCGAACTACTTTTTCTGTTTATCACACACACAATAATTACTAATTATGGTAAACTCATTTGCCTTTAAGTCTATTTTAACTCATCTGTCTATGGAAGGAATGTAAGCATTTGACACCTCAGTCTTTACAATTAGGATGGATGTTTCTTTATTGCGTCATACAACAAACAAATTGTTGAACAGTAACTACACTCCTGTGCACCACTTTACTTTCTCAGACCAAAACACCAAGTTCTCTAAAAGCACATAACAATCAGTGCATAATCATCTTGCTAGAATAATCCACACAGCCATTATTGCTGAATTTCGGGAAGACAGAGGAAGACTTAGACCACTGGATAAAATCCGAACGCTTGAATTGATAATCCAAAAATCTAGTTACATTGGTACGCACTGAGATACTCGCTATCCGTATTGTAAAAAAGGAACCTGAGGAAGAAACTGGAAGGCAATAGGTCGAAGTTGCATAGAAATGCAACAATTCAGCTTGCTACACTTTGAAGCATGACACGAAGAGGATGTCAATAAATACATGTCGTCATTAAAATATATAAATCGCCTATAGGTTTATTATAACTTCGTAGAACCTCAAGAAATGAGTTTCGATCAGCTATTACGACTGACTGGCTTCAACAGAAAACTCCGCACAGAAGGGCAACAGTTCAACTTACCACACAAAAGAGGAAAAACAGATTTGAAAGGATAATAATAGGCAGAAAAGTGAGGGAGAAAGAATAGTAAAATGGGAAAAAAACTGGCGGTTTAGTAGATATGAAAGATTACAAAGAGTGAATGCATCTACGCCGCCACTGAGTACAATTTCGAGCCATATTACCAGTATATATCTTAAGTATATATTGGTTCTAAAAATCCCAAAGACCCCAGCCAATCAGGAAGTCTGCACCTCCCCTTGTGGCTCTAACTAACTGTCGAAGATTTCACGGACTGACTCCATGTTTTGGTCTGACCACCACCAGATATTTTCCAAGTTGATCCTATGTCAGCTAACATTGCTCATTGAGGAAGGCGATGGTTAGGCATGAGCAACATATGTCCAGGTCATTTTAATCGACTTACCTTCATCGATTGACTTTCCCTCTTTGCTTAACATTCAACGCTTTACCTCAATATTAATCGCCTTATAATACCACCTAACATGGAAGATAGAATGGAGTTTAATCCAATTACTGACTCATATGCCGAAATAAAACCTCCCACAGAAGAACATCATCTCAAGATGCCAAACTTCAGAAAAGCACATGGAATAGGACGGTAGAAACATACATCTAACTGGAAGAACAACTAAGGGGAGACTATTGCAGATTTTCAGAAACAGGAGTAAACACATTTTTGAGAATGAAAACCATTTCAGGTCACGTCACAAAGCTTCCAAACATTCCAAGTCAGCGGTGACTACGTAGCTCAGAACAACCTTTCGTGATTTTATGGGTTGGTACAATGTTTTGTTCTGACTATACCTTACGTGAAACGTCTATATTAGCTGTGTACTTAACATTAACTGTAACGTTTTCTGGTGATGAGTACATTCTTTAAACATGAAAGTTAACCAGACTAGTTATCAATTAAATGAGAAAATACATCCCTTTAAGCTGCTGAACTTTGGAAAGGCAAACAGAAAAAAAATGTATTGAAATTACAAGATGTATGTTTGAGTATAATTTAATGAAGGCCAGCAAAGAGTTTCAAGACTTGAATGATAGCAAGGAATGAATAAATCTACGATATTGCAAACGATATTTAGCCATTTCACTTATTCCCAGTATCTCAAAGACCCCAGTCAGGCACTCTACACCTCCCTGAGTAACTCATATCAACAGTCAAGGACTTCATGAACTGGTGTGAGGCCTTTATCTGACTACTTCCAACAAGTTTTGAAATCTAATACTACTTCAACTAACACAGGTTTTCAAGAAAGCTGTTGACTCGGAAAGCATAAATGGTACCCCAGCCATCTCGAAATATACAACCTTATAGATCAGCTCACCATTCTTATCTAACGGCGCACCTAAACTCACTACCATTAACCACAGTACACCTAATACGAGACTAAAAGAAAGCACTGGCGGTAACCGCTATTCTTTCTACATATTCCACCTTTAACACATTTATCTAACAATTATGAAGTAAAATGAATGTCATGCCAGAGCCAAGATAATGCAAGTGGGTAAATGGCAAAAGTGCATTTGGAATCCGTTCTGAGACCTTGTTGGCAATCAGTACATTAGAGCTGATGCCACTTTCCAACAATCTCACTACTTACCCTTAAACTAGACTAGATGCAGACTAGTCCTGCAGAATGATCTTACACTTGACATGAGTAACAAGTCAATCCCAGAAAAAACGAAGTCGATCACCATTAGTACATTTATGATGATGTCATCAGGTATTCTTGACATATAACACTAGGTGTCAGCACTTTTGACAACAACTCTTTTTTTTCGAGCTCCCATATGACTACATGAATGCGAATAGACTGTCTTCACTGACATTATAACATCTCTCGGAACGCTATCCGCAGTTATCATGGTCAAAAGGATACCCAAATGATAAACAGGAATCCCACCTTCAGCTTACATAGAAGTAACAAACTGAACTGGTAAACTTCCGCGGAAATGTCTACATTGGTCAGTTAGTCAATCAAAAATATAGCGGATCTCGGATGCTTATATGCCTACATTTCAGAACCTGTCATTTACATGTGTGCATAAAATCAATTTACATCAGGATGGGAAATATACTCAAAGTTAAAAATAGTTGTCGATGACTAGAAGTTATTCTGTATCATCTGTGTTAGGTGCATATTAAAATTAAACACTTCAAGGGGATGCTGAGTCAACACAACCACTTGATGACTTACATATTTTGCAAAAAATGAGCGGTTGTCACTCTGTTCAGCGCGAGCCATCTCTTCCCGTTGCCTTTCAAGTCTTTCAAGATATTTTGCAGTCTCCGGACTATGTATTTTATTATCAATGAATATCACAGATACCTTGATCCCAACTTCGGTTTCTGAATTTCGAAGTTCACAGATATGTCCGGGAGGTCCAAGTGATTGATGGAAGTATCAGGGGGACAGTCATATTTTGAAGTACTTAAATGTATGGCAATTGGATTTCCAACGTCGTTAACACTAAGGGTTACCTTAAGTTTCATCCTAGAAGCAACAAGTTGACACTTTAAAACACTAGAGAATAGAAAATTTTATTACCGCTAGGATAGAGGACTCGATGAACTCTTTTTCCGAGATGGGCATACGAATAGTATACAGCCTGCCAGCCGTAGCAGACTCCTACAAGTTAAAGAGACATTATATTGTGTTATAACACAAACTAGTAACAGCTGTTTTTCATTCGCAGTGAAACTATGGCCATCAGATACTAAACTTAGTACCCCAGAAGATGACTTGATTGTAATTCCATTTAATTGGCTGAAAACTCCATCTGATAATTATTTCGTGGTGTATACTACATACCTTCCAGTAAACTATGTTCTAGCAAGTAGGTAGAGGCTGAAGTATCATAAGCCTTGTAAAGATAAATTCAAATTATTTTTATCTTACATAACCTGAGGATAGAGCAAGTGCATAGACTAAACACCATGCAATAAACATTACAAAGAATCCGTGCTTTAAAATTCCTTATGTAAAAAACACGATTGTAAGCAGCGCTGATGAGTGTGTGCACTAAAACAACAGATTCAGATTTATTGGTTGAGGATAGAAGGCTTGAGGGCTATGTTAATCCTTTTCTAGTACATTTTTGTGCTTTTCCGAACCCTTGAATAAATCAGTGGGAGATGCAGACCCAATTTCTTATGGGAGTCGGTTCCAAGAGCTTATGACTCGGATGTGAGAAACAGTACTCAACAGAAATATGATTTCCTCTTGGCTTTTGAAATCTCCTGCTATGTAATCTAAAGTATTCAGATCTGGTGGGAATCAAAAGACCAAATAAGTCATTATTTAAGATTTTAAACATTGTAATTAAATCTCCTCTCTGCCTACATACGGTATGGTAGGGAGAAGATATTTAAACTTTATAGTCTTCCCTTGTATGGTTAAGCAGTCATGTCGAGAATAATACGTGTTGCCTTCCTTTGGACCAGTAGCGTTAAATAATTCCCCAGAATTATTGACTACAGCAATCACCAATGAACATTGGATGCTGACTCCGTCGTGTCACGTTCGTGCACGATCACTAGCCAGTTAAGCAATTATCTCGCATTCCGATTTGGTCCCAAAATATATCTCGTAATTTGGACTATCAACTATTGTGTTTTGCTTTGCCTTTGGTCTACGCGGAATGAATACTACAGAAGTTGTGGGTATTAGATCTTGCGTTCGTAAACTTCGTACTATCCGTGAACGTCAACACCCTCAACCTCTAAACTGGTGAGTCCGACCGCGAACTTCATCTTTGGTAAATACATAGACAAATCAGGTGAGTTCGTTCCATTTTGTATTTGTTCTTGTACTATTTTCAAACTATATATATTTCATCTTGAGTGATCATGCTCCTAATGTCATTCGTATTCGCTCAACTGCCAAAACTACTCCGCTCGTACCATTTTGGCTAGATAATACTGAATCATGGTTTCAGAGAGCTGAATCTGATTTTAGCAAGCATGTGTTAACTAATCGGCCTTCACAGTTCCCTGAAGTTGTTCACGCCCTACCGCGGGAATTCAGTAAGTGCGTAGCTGTGCAAATGTCAAGCCCAGAGGTAAGTAACTCGTATGAGTTGCTTGAAGCAACCCTCCTAAGGAACAACTTTCTCACGGATTGACAGCGCCCGGACGAATTATTTCGCGACGTCAAGTTAAGTGATCAGTCAGCCGTGAGCATACTAATAAGAATGAGAGAAGTTATTGGCCAGTATCATTTTGATCAATGACTTTTCAGAGAACTGCTGTTATCCAAAATGCCACAGTCAGTACAGGATGGTGATCGTTCCTGGTGTTATTTTAGACGACTTAGCTGTTTCTGCAGATACAATTCTAGAAATAACAAAATGGCCAGTTATCGAAATATGCTGAGTTCACTAACAGACTTCGAGTAGGGACACTGAAGTGATAGAGTTACGCAACTCCATCCAGCAGCTGCTTAGGTCAAACATACCTTGTAATTCCCCCATCGTCGTCCGAACTGACCTCACGAAACTCACGTGATAGGTCTAAATCCAAGCCACGTTCACATAAAACCCTGACTGGTGTTGATATCACAATACCTACGGTCAGGAAGCTAAATGTCCCTGCAAACCTTGCAATTTCGGCAATTTCTCGGAGACTGGGAAACTATCCACCGACACGCGTTAGCGGCAACCATCGCCGGTGGCACTAGTCGCCTACTTTATATTTGTGACGTGGTCAGCCTGACCCGATACTTAGTCGACACAGGCGCCGAAGTCAGTGTCCTTCCTGCTACAGCAGCAGACCGACAGAAGGAACCTAGCTTCAACTTACAGGCTGCAAATGGAAATCCAATTGCAACCTTTGGTCGGAAATACGTCTATCTGAACGTAGGTTTACGCAAACCTATTCAGTGGATTTTCCTTCTCTCTGACGTCACAATGCCCATCATTGGCACGGACCTGCTTAACCATCACGATCTACTCGTAGATGTTCGCCAAAAACGACTGATAGACAGCATTACTAGACTTTCCATTAAAGCCGTCAATTACGTAGACCATAGCTTGTCACTCGTTAAGAAGGCAATCTTTGATCCAACATTCCAACCAATTGTTGATAAGTACCCGGAACTTAATAGCCCGTGCATAACCAGCAATGTAATGCACCAAATCATAACCTTAGGACAACCCGTGACATCTAAAGCACGAAGACTTGCTCCTGATAAACTGCAACTCGTTAGAAATGAGTTCGACCATATGCTCACCCTTGGCATCATTCGGCCATCGAATAGCCCATGGCCATCGACACCGCATATGGTACCAAAAAAGATAGCAACGATTGGCGACCCACTGGTGATTACCGGCGAGTGAACGCCAAAACAACCCCTGATTGATACCCTTTGCCTCACATACACGATTTCACGACAACATTATCTGGTGCAACTATATTCTCTGAAATCGACTTGGTTAAAGCGTATAACCGAATCCCGATAGCACCAGAAGATATTCCGAAAGCGGCTTTTATTAAGCTTTTCGGACTTTTTGAATTTCTTCGGTCTCCGGAATGCAGCACAAACATTCCAACGCTTCATCGATGAAGTATTTCGCGGTCTCGACTTTGTATACGCATACTTAGACGACTGCCCCATTGCAAATTCAGACGAGGAAACTCACCTTAAACACTTGGACTTGGCATGGTGTTACCATAAATAATCAAAAGTGTCAGATAGACGTTGACTCACTCGACTTCCTGGGTCACACTATTGACTGCCAGGGCATTCGCCCACTGGCTACTAAAGTCGAAGCGATACTGAACTTTCCAAAGCCAAAGACAGTGAAATGTCTTCGCACTTTTAACGGCTTGGTAAGTTATTACCGACGGTTTATTCCCAACTGCGCTTCTCCGATTCAGCCATTGACAGACCTTCTTCGAGGGAAAAACAAGTCTATAGAACTCGACGCGTCTTCTCGACATGCTTTTACTCAGGTAAAGAAAGCTATTGCGGATGCCACACTTCTCATGTATCAGGATCCAACGGCACCGTTAAGTATCTCAGTTGATGCATCAGACGCTGCAATCGGCGCAGTTCTGCAACAACTAGTTAACAAAGAGTGGCAACCACTCGCCCTTTTCTCGAGGAGACTTCAATTAGCTGAAACGAAGTACAGCACATTTGGAAGAGAACTTCTAGCTATGTACCGTGCTATACGTCATTTTCGACATTCAGTGGAGGGTCAAGAATTCATAATTTTCACTGACCACAAACCTCTGACGTACTCTCTGAACTCAACTTCAGATAAGTATTCACCCAGGGAATCACGACAATTGGATTACGTTTCTCAGTTTACATCGGTTATTCGACATGTGTCCGGAGTGAACAACACTGTGGCCGACATCTTGTCGCGCGTTTGTTCCCAGACCCAAATAGACGGCATAGACCCTGTGAAACTGGCTCGTCTTCAAAAAGGAGATACGTAGCTTCAACACTAGTCGAGAACAACTCTGCAATTAGCCAAGAAACCCTTAAGTATGGGAAAAGATGCTATTCCATACGACGTTTCCACGAGTACTCCTCGCCCCATCGTGCCTAAAAGTTATCGCCGTAACGTCTTCAATACGTTGCATGGCTTGTCCCACCCAGGTATTCGAACTACCGTTAAGCTCGTAACTAGTCGGTTTTGTTGGCCTGGTCGACCACATGGAATGCAACACTCAGTTGTTACATACATTATCGACAAATCTAAACAATAATGGAGCCTAGGATTATATCATATAAATTGTTCAGACTTATGCAAAGTGTGCTTACTGTCATTATTCCATTACCTTCCCTTGTGTATATATATGCTAACTCCATATATACATTATTATCATATTGATCATGCCTGTCAACTGGGGACCCCCATGTGCATAAAGTGAGAATATATTATAATAAGACGCATTTTATTGTTGTATGAGGGAATTGACTTCAAGCTTTATTTATTTTCCCAAGTATCTGCAATCTATCCAACAAATACTTGGGTTTTTTCGTTAATTGGAAGTCAATATCTCTATGTTTATTGATGTGTTCCATTGAATCACTGTTTACCAGAATCTTCCCACAAACTAATGACAAAAAGACAGCAACCATGTCATTTAACCATAAACCAAATTTACGTAATTTAGATGATACTTATCCATGCCATTGCAACTGGTGTGTCCTACACAGGTAGGAATATGTGTGTACCCTAGTATATTATCATTACTAAATATGATTACTAATCCTATATGTAATTTATCATATTGATGATGTCTGTAACCTGACAATATTGGTAACTTTGCTACCTGTCTCGGAAAAACACTAGATCTAGTATTCATCAATGATGTTGGTATATATGAAGCTCGCAAACGTGCTCCTGCACTGAACTCTGATCATTGCATCATATGTGTACTGCCTAAAATATATTCCAAATCACACAAACCTGTCTTCTCTCACCTCTACAGTAAATTTCAGCGGAGATGCTACTCACAAGACAACCTAAGCAAGCTCAGACGCACGTTGAAAGACACTAAATGGGACCTATTTACAGAACAAACATTAGATGACACAATCACAAACACTACAGATTATCTTAAATTCTGTTTCGAAATATATGTTGTCCTAAAGAAACATTATTCACTCGATTTGACCGTTTCTCTTCTCCATATCTCAAAAAGCTACGTAGAGATAAAGAACTGTTGTCCAAAACAAATGATAAGTCAGGTATAAAAAAGTTAAATACTCTGATAAAACTCGGAATGCAAAGACTAGATGTTTTATATAACCAAAGATTCTTGTCGTGTAAAACCCCTTCTAGTTTGTGGAAACTTTTTAAAGAAATAACTAGCGGTAAGCAGTGTACTTCTGTCCCATCTCTTAATGTTGATACTCTTGATAAGTCTTTCATACGCTCTTCTGTCGATGTCCTTCCTAATGATACAAATCACAGACAATAATTTCAGTGGTTTTAATACCCTTGATGTACTTAAATGTCTCCGTTCTCTTGAGCCTTCCCAAAGCCTTGGTCCTGATGGTG